TATATATATATATATATATATATATATATATATATATATATATATATATATATATATATATATGAGAAAAATCAAGGGGTGTGGACTGAGAAGCACACGGTTTTGACAAATTCAGTGGTCGGTTACAAATAGGTTGTTTGTTTGCTTGCATGATGGTCCAAATAAAAGTGGTGGGAAAAGGGAAGGAAAGAGGGGTTTGAGAAGGTTCGGCCAATGGTTTTTTTGGGGTTTAATTTCTTTTAGTTTTTAGTTTTTTGGTGTTCAAACGGGCCGGCTCCGATCTAAAGTCGGTCCGTCAAGGCCATGGGCTCTACACGTCCGCTTGTTAATTTCCACGGGTCGGTCCGCTTGGCAATGAAGTCCATATTCCAATCTAGCTCGTCCATGTAACCTTTTTTACACGATTTGGGCGGGTTGGATCCAAGGACAAGAAATTTATACATCCGTTCCGCGCTTCAAACCTTCGGATCGCGGCATGGACAAAATGCCAATGAGTTTCAAACTTTTGTCCACGTCGTGCAATGGACATTTGAATCGCGGCATGGCCCATTTGTCGTTTGGTTTTAAATTGCTTCTCCTTACTCGATTTTGGCTATAATGTAAAAACAACATTTACTATTTAATAAATTGTAAATAGCATCTAATCCGTTTGTGGTTTGAGAGTTGTGTACATGATGACCCCCTTCTAGTATCAAATCAGGCATTTTACCCTCATAAATTTTGACCTAAGTTGGCTTGAAGATGATCTCCTAGTGTCAACACCTAAATTCTTTTTATACATGAAATACAATAATTATTCAACTTCCGCGTGTTTTTTCATCAAGACTAAATGCGGTTGGGGCATGCCGGATAATATCTTTTGATTGTAACTTGGAAAGTTTTACGTTCAACTCTAGTAGGATTCATAACTATAGCAAACGTAGAGACTAGTGTGATATCTTCATAATACTTCATTTTTCTTCCATTAGGTCCACTTCCGTCCCAAAATAATTATCTTTCCTATATTTTTTTATCAAGAGGGAAAAAATGAGGAGTAAAATCTCACCATTACACTGTATTGATAACGACACGCCACATCTATATGTGTGATCGTTTGCAACTCTACAGTGTAAAATCAAATATTTCACATGGTGTAGCATCTAGAAAACCACCGGGGTAGATATTAAAAGCCCATCATGTTTTTATACCCATCACAAAGCAACTCCGGGAATAAATTTTATAGCGTTCGTTTAGTCTGGTGCTGCTTACAATTCATCGCATAAAAACGTCAAAAAGAAACTAAGGCACGAGAGAATTTTGAGCATTCGTATAATCAACTTTCAACTATATGGCACTGAAAGAGAGTCCTATAAAACCTTGCGTGATTTTATAGCAAAATAATTGACTAATATACAAGTCTACTACATGACATGAGCAACAAATTCTTGCTTAGAAACAAAAAAAAAAATATTTGCAGTGTCAAGCTCATAATTTACAGATACAAAAAAGATTAGGCAATTATTATGCCGGCCAAAACATCGCTCTTACCCCGTGCAAAAATGGTGTAAACTAGTCGAATGGCATCAAGCCATCCGTCTAAAGATTCCCAAGACTCTGCAACCTGAAAATATAAAGAGAGATTTTAGATTATACTAAAAGAAAAAGAAAATAAAAAAAATTGTTACTTATTAAAAAAGCATAAAGAATTATACCAGGAAAATAGGTCCGCTAATTGTGTCAATGCACAGGCCTGCGCCAGGTGGCAATGTAAGATCTGCACATGCGGAAATAGAAACGATATCTGGGACATCGATTCTTATGGCAGCTTTACCGTTCTGCATATCTCCTGATTTTGACGAGAGGCTCGCTGAGGAATGTCTTTGCTCAAAGCTAATCTGCATCAAAAAATGAGTCTTTTTTCAAGTTTCGAAAAGTAAGTATTGAAACGCAGAAATAGGATAACGTGTTGTAAATCGTGAGCAATTTACAACAGATATTTGTTGTAAACCTCTCTGCCTTCGCTTTTGTTTTTTGTCTTTTTTTTCTCGTCTGAAATATTTGTGTAATCAGATAATTTATCCTACCTGTTGGAGCCCTTCTTGATTTAGCGCAAATTGCGAACGTTTCCAATCACTGTGAGGGGCAACTGGATTTCCAATTGGTGGTGCCGTCAGATAACCAACCTTCAGATATGGCAGAGGAAGCTGCAAAATTACAAGTTTTAATTCAGACCTACTATTTGGAAAAAGTCCTATATTTAAAGGGGTTGGCCTGATAAAGAATAGGCATCTAACAAAATAGGAGATAATAGTTGTAAACGAATACTACAATCAACAGCCAACACTAAAATAAGTATAAGTGCATAATCTCAAACAGGGCATATTAATTCGGTAAAATGGACGAATAATCACTAGACATATTTTGTGGTAGGAGGGATGTAAGATCACCATAATAATGAAATAGTTTGACGAAATCTCAACATAGTTTCAAATTTTTCAGCCAAATATATGGCACACATCAGTATAAATACTGGAGTCAAGAATTAAAATGTTGAAGAAATGAGATACTCACCATAGATCGCACAAGCTTTAAAGCACTAGTGTAAACCTGCATGACAAACAGAAAAGTAAACAAGGTCCAGCCTTAGTATACTGTATACCAACATCATTATAACAAGAAACACTTCAAATTTATCATTAACATCATCAGACGCTGTCCAGTTGAACTGAGGAAATCGAAAATGAAGAGATCAAGAGAACATGGTTTCACTCCATATGGAAAAAATGCAGAATATAATGATAGCTACAAATATAGTAGGGGGTTGGGTGGTGCAGACATAGTAAATAGGATAAATTACGACTATCACCCTACCTGATTATGGTCTTTTAAAATACCGATTAGTTATTTCTTGGACAATAATTTAAGAAAAAAATGAACCTATGTTCCGATCGGAGGTTTTTTGTGGTCTGAAAACGAGTGTCTTAAGGAGTTCTTTGTAATATTGTTAGATAATGTGACTTCAACTACTCAGTTTGTATATATTGCATAATCGATTTCATTTCACTTCATTTGCTTATTCTGTATAACATTTACATCAAATCTTCTATTAATATCAAATTAATAGTTTAAACATTAAAAAAAAATAACGTCTTTGTTTGTCTAACTTCAATGGTTAAATTTATTCCCGTGAAATTGCATGTATATTATATTGCCTTG